AGAGTTCAAAATGATTATACACTGATGTTTCCCTGGTCACCTACCTACCTGGTTCCTACTTTGTCCCCCATCCTCCATTGGTTCTACTGTTCTTCATTTCTTACCTTTCCTTCTGGAATTTATCCACTTTCCTGTAAATATATTCATTTGTTCTGGGCCTTGCTTTTGATACTTCACAATATAGGTTGGAAATCTTTACATGTTCAAACAGAGGAAGCTTCCTTGTCTCTCTTTGTTCTGTTTTATATTTTTATTGTGAAATATAACACACAGGGCAGTAAATAAAATCTACACCTGCAGCTTAACAAGTAATCACAAAGTGAACATCTAACCATCACTCGGGATGGTGATCAGGGCCTTGTTGGCACCCAGGAAGCTGTGTGTGTCCCTTCCCTTTAAACCTCTGTCCTCCATGTTTTCCTTACACCCCCAGAAAAACTCAGTCCTGACTTTTACAGTAACTGTGTATTTACATTTTTTTAAAAAGATTTTATTTATTTATACCGACTGAGCCACCCAGGCGCCCTGTATTTACATTCTTAATACATTTCACCATGTACATATATATCCCTAAACAATACAGCCTAATTTTGTCTGGTTTTGAAACTTACGTAAGCATCATCAGACTAAATGCTTCCTTTGTATCTTCCTCTCACAAAATTATGTTTGTAAGGTTCATCCATATTGTTTTCTGTAGCTCTGATCTGTTGCCAACTGCTGAATAGTATTCGACACTGTTTATCCGAGTTAGTGCAAATGTTCACTCCAGTTGTTTCCGATTCTTGGCTCAACAGACACCACCACTGTGAAAATTCTCCTACAGACCCTCCTGCTGAACACGCACACGTGTTTCTCTTGGGTAGAGACCTAGGATAATAGGGTATGTACATCTTTAACTTACTAAAGTCCAACTGACTTCCACAGTATTTCTATCAGTTTAGACGCTCAACAGTAGTGATGAACGTTATTACTTAGCATCCTTGCCAATAATTAGTACTTCTTGTCTTTTTAATTTTAGCTATTTTGGTGGAAGATCAGTAGCATCTAATTACAGGGTTGGTTTGCATTTTCCTTATTTCTAATAAGGTTGCTTGCTGTAGTTGTTTTAAAGTATGCCCACAGGGGCGCCTGGGTGGCTCAGTTGTTAAGCGTCTGCCTTCGGCTCAGGTCGTGATCCCGGGGTCCTGGGATCGAGTCCCACATCGGGCTCCCTGCTCAGTGGGGAGTCTGCTTCTCCCTCTGACCCTCCCCCCTCTCATGTGCTCTCTCTCTCTCTCAAATAAATAAATAAAATCTTAAAAAAAATAATAAAGTAGGTCCACAAACTCTGTGGCACTCCTGTCATCAGAAGGTGGTCCAAATACCCTCTCCTCGCCCGGGGGCCATACTGACTGGCTTCTAACAAGCAGAGCGAAGCAGAAGAGACACTGGTGACATCTCAGCCCAAACATTTCCGGCCGGTCTCCTGTTCTGTCTCATGGACGTCACGGGCATAGAAGTTCTTTCTATATTCTGTATTTTCGTGCTAGTCCTGTGTAGGATATTTATGTTGCAAATATCTTCTCCCGTTTTGTGACTTAGACTCATTCTTTCATAGTGCCTTTTGATGAACAAGTTCTTCATTTCACTTATTCTTAAAATAATCTGTAAATTTAATCTCATTAAATTTATCCATTTTTCCTGTTTAGTGCTGTTGTGTCTTGTTCCTTATTCCTATCCAAAAGTCTGCAGTATATTTATTTATATTCTCTTCTAAACGCTTTATACTTTTGCCTTTTACATTTCAGCATTAATGTACCTGGAATTCGTTTCTATGTAGGGTGTATTATTTTTCCATATAGATATCTAATTATGCCAGCACAATTTATTGAAAAGTCCTGCCTTTCCATACTCTTCTGTATCCCATTTATTAAGTATAACACGTGCTCCTTTTTTGTTCCATTGGTCCATTTGTCTGTCCTTGCACAAATACCACCCTGTCTGAGTTGATAAGGTTTTAGATGAAGTTTGGTTTGTTTTTTGGTTTGTTTGTTTGTTTTGAGGTAAAACTGGTATATAACATTAGTTTCAGGTGCACTGCATAATAATTTGATATTTGCGTACCATACAAAGTTTTCGCCACACTAAGTCTAGTTACCCTGCCTCATCATACAGTCGATGCCTTTCCCCTGTCCTCCAACCCCCTCCCCTCTGACAACTACCAGACCTATGAGATTCCTCCTGCGTGTGTCTGCCCCCCGGAGGTGGGGTTTCGGTGCAACTGCATCTCTGCCTCTGCCACCCTCTGCGATGGCCTTTTTAACCCCTTGGTGTGGGCAGAGTTGTTCGGCTCTATCTCACTTCTTTTTCCATGGGTATCATTACTTTGGCTTCCAGGTAAGCTGGACGGAACAAATGTTCCAGTTTCTCGGACAGATCTGAGTGGCGAGCACATGAGCACGCAACAGCTACAAACCTTCCCCTGGCTTGAAGCTGGACTTAGATTTCCTTTGTAATGTGTTTGCTCTGGGGCTGTCTCTACTCGCCTTCGGGCTCAGATCTGGGCACATCGCTCGGAAAGAAAGGCCTGCTCAAAGTTAATGAATTAAGAAATTAGCTCAGTTCCCCGTTTTGGATGGGGGGCAATCTCGCACATGCTGACCATGGCCTGCACCTTCTGAGAGCGTACCTGGCCTACACTTTCAGCTCTCTACTTCCCGTTATTGAGCTACTCTACTGGGACATCTAAGCTGCCCGCCGACCTTCCAGACTGAATTCATGGTCCATGAGCTTACGAAACCAGGCATTTTCTATTGCAATTTAACTGATGAGGGACACGATCACCCTAAGATCTCTGCTGGCTGTTTATTACCATTCTCCCCTTTCAAACTATGTCTGCCTTTGCTCCTTCTCTGGAGCATGAGGTCGTATGACCCATTTATGGTCAATGGGATAGGAGTAAAATAATGCACAGAACGTCCAGGTCACACCCCTACTGGAAAAGAGATGTCTTTACATTTCTACTAGCTTGAAAAGGGACAAGCTGCCTGGACGTCAGACAGAAACACGCATCAAAGATGGTGGAGTGACATGACTGAGAGCCTGTGTTCTGACATCTTGGCATTCCCCTGCCCAGGTAAGCCTGGGTTGCTTATGTCCACAGTCAGAATGACCACTGCTCTGGGCCTGTTATAAGAGATACCCATAATCCTAATGGAAGCAACCTCTTTGAATACAGAGTCAAACCTGGCTGCTAAGGGGTCAATAAAGAAAATCAACTATGTATAACAATTAACCTCAGTATGTTAAAACTCTCAGGTAAAGAGAAAATGGAAGCAGTGACCTTACATTTATAAAAACGAATGGGTTTCTATTGTAAACAGAGACAGGAAATTGATATTTAGCAGAGACCAAAGTGAATGAGTGATTCAGGAAGTGAGCAGTTATCTCCACAGCAAGCTATGGAAGAAAATGCCAGAATAACTATGTGTGAAAGTCCGGTATCCATAACTGAAATCCAGTGGCAACTTGCTGGAGAAGATTGACGATGTCAAGTTAAAAAAATCCCAGGATAGGGGCGCCTGGGTGGCTCAGTCATTGGGCGTCTGCCTTCGGCTCAGGTCATGATCCCAGGGTCCTGGGATGGAGCCCCGCATCTGGCTCCCAGCTTGGCAGGAAGCCTGCTTCTCCCCCTTCCACTCCCCCTGCTTGTGTTCCTGCTCTCATTCTCTCTGTGTGTCAAATAAATAAATAATAAATAAATAAAATCAATCCCAGGATAGTGGTGTTAAGTATAGACATTAGAAATTATTGTGGAGAACCATATCCTATTCAAAAATAGCTATATGAAGAAAAAAAAGGACTGCTGTACAGTATAATTTTTTGTTTTATTATAATCACTATACATTTTTATTTGTTTTAATTAGTTTTATTTTTTTTAAGTTTTTATTTACTTATTTGACAGAGAGAGACGAAGTGAGAGAAGGAGCATAAGCAGGGGGAGCGGCAGGCAGAGGGAGGAGCAGACTTCCGCTGAGCAGGGAGCCCGGTGCGGGGCTCGATCCCAGGACCCTGAGACCATGACCTGAGCTGAAAGCAGATGCTTAACCAACTGAGCCACCCAGGCACCCCTAGTTTTAAATATATATATTTTAAAAAGTAAGTATGGTTGTATATTCATGGATGGAACAAAATAGAGTTCGAAGAGCCATCCTGCAAATGAGATAAAGCACGTGTGTTCATCATGGTCTTGTTACTACAGCGCACTTCCTCAGTCAGTAAAGATGTACTGAGCATCTACTCTATTTCTACTTCTACTTAGCTTCTGTGAAGTTATAAAACTCTGAGGTATGGAACCTATCTTTAAGGTGATTACTGAACATCAAGGAACCACTAAGTACTAAAGTCCATGTGAATAAATGCTACAGAAATTCAAAGAAGGAAGAAATGAGTGCTGGGGCGCCTAGGTGGCTCAGTCGTTAAGCGTCTGCCTTCAGCTCAGGTCATAGGATGGAGTCCCACATGGGGCTCCCTGCTCAGCAGGGACCCTGCTTCTCCCTCTCCCTCTGCTGCTCCCCCTGCTTGTGTTCTCTCTGTCAAATAAATAAATAAATAATCTTAAAAAAAAAAAGAAGAGATGAGTGCTGAAAGCAGCTGATGAAGGTGAATCATCATCATCACCATCATCATCATCATCCAAGACTATGTATGTGCTAAACCATAAAAGGAAGTTTGAGAGGCAGAAATTAGGAAGGTAAATAAGGAGGGTATCCTGATTGCAGTTAGCATATGGTCAAAGTGTTGGGAAGTAGGAGAGAAAGTGGGAACTGCCTGGCTGAAATGTATCTCAAAGGGAGAGTGGTGTTTGCTGTAAGGGGAAACAGGCTGAGAAAGCAACAACAAAAAAGTCATAAAGTAGCAGCTTTATGATAGTCTCTTACACTTGTGCTCATAGTTTTTAAATCCATTGCATAATTCGCTAAAGTAGGCTCCTTTTCCAAAACCATTAAATTTGTTTAGTTATCAAATGCTTTTAAAAAATAGTTTGATTATAAAACAATGCATAGGCATTACAGAAAATTTGGAAAAGATTAACTGGTCAACTTAAAATCACAGGTTTCTGAGATAAATCTTCATATTTTCAGGCTAATATCTCTGTAATCACAGGACAAAGACAAGAGACCAACAGACTTTTCTAGGTGAATGGGATCTCAAGTTTTATTCTCATTCATGTGGTCTTTACATGTTTAAGGTATGGAAACAACAAATGCATTTTCCAATTTCATCTTTTCTTGGTAACCTGCTCAAGACTTTAGAACTGTTTTCTAGTTCCTTTTCACCTGGGACATGATAGTGACCAATTCAACTTAATAGAGAAAATGTATATTGCAACATTAAATTTGGGTGGATTCTAGGTAAGCCAGCCTTTACCAACAATTTGATTCACTCTTTTTGAGGATTTATCAAACACCATATTCTTAATCAAGACCCCAACCTTCCTACTGCAATAATTAGCATAATTTATACTATTTTATGTCTCAATCTCCTTGAATACTCATGGTATGTTTAATTTTGGAGGACCAATACAAAGGTAATAAATAGCATGTAGTCTATATCTTTATTGAATTCCTCATAACTACTACATCCTCACATTGTAAATCAGACCTGTTGTAGAATAAATAAGTCACAATTTGAGAGTCACATCTATAAAAACATGCATTGGTAATAAATAAAATAAATGTGGATCTTAAAGATCAATTAATCAGGCCTTCCAATTTTTTAGGTGAGTAAATTAAGGCATGAAGAGGTAAAGTGACTTACCCTAAAGTAAGTAATAGAACTAGTTGGTAATAGAGCTGAGATTGGAACCCAGGACCTTTAAAACCCAGAGATGTGTGCCTCCCACTAAACAATGTGGCCACTCTAATTAACAGTTTTCATGATCCTCCTTCTGTTTCCCTGGGAAGGGTCTCCACAGTAGCCAGACCCTCAAGGCATTCAGAGGATTTCTCTCCAGTGCAAGATTTTTCATGTCGAATAGAAGAGTTTTGTCTAAATGTTTTCCTACACTCAGTATGTATATTTGGTTTCTCCCCACTATGAATTTTCTGGTGTTTTGTAAGATATGTGCTCTGGCTGAAGGCTTTTCCACATTCATTACATTTGTAGAGTTTCTCTTCAGTATGAATTTTCTGATGTTTTTTAAGGTCCATCCTCCGGCTAAAGGCTCTGCTACATTTACTGCACTCATGAAGTTTCTCTCCAGTATGAATGATTTGATGTTGAATAAGGCCTGAGCAGTAACTAAAGGCTTTTCCACATTCACTGCATTTACAGGATCTTTCACTAAAATGAGTTTTCTGGTGATTTGTAAGGCTTGCATTCTGACTGAAGGCTTTTCCACATACGTTACATTTATAGGGATTCTCTCCAGCGTGAGTTCTCTGATGTTGAATAAGTGCTGACCTATCACTAAAGACTTTTCCACAGTCATTGCATTTATAGAGCTTCTCTCCAGTATGAATTCTCTGATGTTGAATAAGAGCTGAACAGAAACTGAAAGCTTTCCCACAATGATTACATTCATAGGGCTTCTCTCCAGTGTGAGTTCTCTGATGCTGAATATGCCCTGAGCGGTCGCTGAAAGCTTTCCCACATTCATTACATTTGTAGGGTTTTTCTCCAGTATGAACCCTCATGTGTTGTGTAAGGAATGAACTCTGGGTGAAAGTTTTCTCACATTCATTACATTTATATGGTTTATCACCTGTATGACTTCTCTGATGTTGAGCAAGGTATGTCCTTCTGCTAAAGGTTTTTCCACATTCCTTACATTCATAGGGCTTCTCTCCAGTATGAGTTCTCTGATGTCGAATAAGAGCTGAGTAGTTACCAAAGGCCTTCCCACATTCATTACACTCATAGGGCTTCTCTCCAGTGTGAATTCTTTGATGCTGAATAAGGGCTGAACAATCACTAAAGGCATTCCCACATTCACTGCATTTGTATGGTTTCTCTCCAGTATGTGTTCTCTGATGTTGAATGAGATCTGAACAGTAACTGAAAGCTTTCCCACAGTTACTACATTCGTAAGGTTTCTCCCCAGTGTGGATGATATGTCGAATAAGAGCTGAATGATCACTGAAAGCTTTTCCACAGTCATTACATTCATAGGGCTTTTCTCCCGTATGAATTCTCTGATGTTGAGTACGATGTGCACTCTGACTGAAGGTTTTACCACATTCATTGCATTCATAAGGCTTCTCTCCAGTATGAATTCTCTGATGGAGAGTAAGATGCGTGCTCTGGCTAAAAGCCTTTCCGCATTCCAGACACTTATAGGGCTTCTCACCCGTGTGAATTCTTTGATGCTGAGTAAGGTATGTGCTACGACTGAATGTCTTGCTACATTCAGTACATTCATATGGTCTCTCCCCACTATGAATTCTCTGATGTTGCATAAGGACTGAGCAATAACTGAAGGCCTTCTCACATTCATTGCATTTGTAGGGCCTTTCTCCTGTATGAGTCTTCTGATGGTTTGTTAGGTGGGAACTCTGGTTAAATCCCTTTCCACATACATTACATTTATAGGGTCGCTCTCCAGTATGAGTCCTTTCATGTTGAACAAGAGCAGTGTGGTCTCTGAAGGTTTTCCCACATCCACCACATTTACGAGGTTTCTTTCCACCACACTTCCTTTGTATAATTAACTCTGAGTTTTGTTTGAAGATTTTTCCATGTGTACCATGTTCATGAAAACACTCTTGTATAAGATCACTCTGTTCTGAAACTATTGATTGTAGAGTGAAAACTTTTCCAAATTCATTAGATTCTGTATCTCCTTCTTTGGCAGGAACTTCCATACAGGTGACTTTATCGTGTCCCAGATACTTCTCCTGGTTTAAGTGCTGATTCTTAAACTGTTCTCTAGACTTCCAGGTATCTCCCAGTAGAGACTTTCTCTTTTTAAATTCTTCTGTGTTTATTCCTCGGGATGGGCCTTCTTTGAAAATGTCCTGCAGCTCTACTGTTGATTTCTCGGCTTTAGGTCCAGACTTGCCATCTAAAAGACATAAAAATACAAATCCACTGTGTCCAAAGCTGGAAGAAGAGAAGGTGTTCTGTGAGGAATGGGGTAACGAAATTGTAATACTGAGAATATACAATACGGGGGATATAAATGTAACCTAGTAATCCAGGGAGGGGTTAGCTGGAAATGCTAGTGGTGTGAAAGAGTCTGATTTAAAACAAAGTAATCAAAGAGAATGGAACAGACATTGTCGGGAGAGAAGGTGATTTGGGAAAAGGCTAAATTGTAGAGATTAGAAAAAACATGAAGATGAGCTGGTATTAAGAAAGGAAACTATTATCCTAAAGCCCATTAAGAGCTCTTTAAATGTCTCTTTAAAAAAACCTTTTCTTTTGGGGCACCTGGCTGGCTCAGTCAGTGGAATGTGCAACTCTTGATCTCGGGGTTGTGAGTTCGAGCCCCATGTTGGGTGTAGAGATTACATAAAAATAAGATCTTTGAAAAAAAAACCAAACTCTTCTTTTAAATTTGGTTTCTTGACTTCCACAAAGCAATACCTTTACCTACTCCCTCTTTGTTGAATAACTGCTGCTGACATTATTGCTTTACATTTAATGAAAGAAGAGCAGAAACCAGGTCTAAAGAAAAAAAAGGTTGAAAAGGGAGAAATTTACTTTTTTGAAATGAAAAATAATTCTCACGGCTTTCCAATGATACGTATTTCTTTTTTACTTTCGGTCATGGACAGAAAAGATAAGAAACACTAAGCATAGAGGACAAAAGAGAGATGACCCTTCTTTTTGCATATCAGCATATCTAGAAGTTGTCTTTAACTATGGGTTCATACTTAAGATTGAGTTACTAATATGTTGATTGAAAGTTAAGTGTTTGTGTGTAAGGACATAAGGAACGGGTTTCACTGCAGGATTACTGGGCAGGGGCCTGGCTGTTTCATTAGATGACCCCCCAAACGTTGGCACCTATAGCATTTTATTTTGGGCTGATTAGTTTCCCCAGAATGAAATCCTTCGACCTTGTACTTGGGGAGGAGGTGGTATGTGGAAGCCTGACTGCCCATCTTCTGAGTCAACTGAAAGGAAGAACTGGGGGGAGGGTCTCTCTATTCAGTGAGTAGATTTTTTTTTAAGATTTTTATTTTATTTATTTGAGAGAGTGAAAGCAAGAGAGATCACAGAGGGAGAGGGAGAAGCAGATTTGCCGCTGAGTGGAGAGCCCCATGTGGGGCTCGATCCCAGGACCCCGGGATCATGACCTGAGCTGAAGGCAGAAGCTTAACTGACTGAGCCACCCAGGTGCCCCAGTGAGTAGATTTTTTTAAAACATTTTGTTTATTTCTTTAGAGAGAGCATGAGCAGGAGGAGGGGCAGAGGGAGAGAGAGAATCCTCAAGCAGATTCCCTGCTGAGCTCAGAGCCTGAAACAGGGCTCGATATCACCACCCTGAGATCATGACCTGAGCCAAAATCAAGAATCAGCCTCTTAATTGACTGAACCACCCAGGTGCCTCAGTAAGTAGTAGATTTTCACTTAAACATCTGTTTTCGGTGTGAACCCCAGATCATAGCATGTAATAAGCAAACATTAAACATGAGGAATTAATTATTTTATTAACTGTACTTCTAACATTGAACATTCATTCCTCATAAATGCTTCTCCTGCCCTCAAAGCCTTTCTTGCCTTCCTTATTTTGCCCAACTAATTCTTGACCATATTTTAGAGCCCCACTCAAATTACACTAGTCCCGGGGCGCCTGGTGGCTCAGTCATTAGGCGTCTGCCTTCGGCTCAGGTCATGATCCCAGGGTCCTGGGATTGAGCCCCACAGCGGGATCCCTGCTTGGCGGGAAGCCTGCTTCTCCCTCTCCCACTCCCCCCTGCTTGTGTTCCCTCTCTCGCTGTGTCTCTCTCTGTCAAATAAATAAATAAAATCTTTAAAAAAAAAAAAATTACACTAGTCCCATGGACATTCCTAACTCTCGTTTTCCTGATCTCCCACAGTATTTACTGTACTGTTTTAACTTCTGATTTTAGTCCTTAAAAGCAGTGCCTTATACTGTTTATCCATTATGTTGTGTGTGCATATGTGTGTCTCCAGAGTTAGCGTTTCATGCCTTAGAGGAAGGAAACTTGAATGACTTTTGTGGGTGTGGAGTTAATACTTAGTGAGTTTATGCCAAGCTGACTCACCATATTGGCATAGTTAATCCTCCTAACAAGCCTGGGAAGTGGAAAACGGAATCTTTACTTTGGGAGAGGTTCAGGGTGTTGAAATCACTTGCCTCAAGTTACACACAAGCCCGAATTCCAGAGTCCAGGGTTCATCTCTACTGCCCTAGGAAGCAGATGGAGCAGATGCTAAAGATTAAAGACAGAAAATCCTGAGTTTTAATCCCAGCTTTCTACTGACTATCTGTGTGACATCAGGGGAAGCCCCCCATTTGGCCTCTTTCCAATCCTCAATATTACTTATAGCATGATTTTTTTTTTCAACTCCTTAAATTCTTCTCAAACTTTTTAGATACAGGTCCTTCATGTTTTGATCCATTGCCAACCCAGCCTCACCATTTGTCACTCTCACACATGCCTTATATCCAACCACACTGTGTTTACTTCCTAGACATTTATCAAATTTCTCACGTCTCCCGGCATGTGTTGATCTTTTATCTAGAACTCCCCTTCTGCCACCTACTGTCTGCTGAGCTACTTCCAGCTCACTCTTCAGGACTCAGTTCTAACATCATCTACTCTAAGCTCCTTATCTATATTCTCATTGCCTCTATAATAATAAAATAATTCCTATAAATAATAACAGCTGATACTTAATCATGCTTAGAACCATCACTGTTCTAAGTACTTTACATGTATTTAATCACTTAATCCCTTACTGGAACTCCAGGAGGTAGAAGCTATTCTTATCTTCATTTTATGAGTGAGGAAAAGGGGCATAAAACTGTACAGTCCCACGCAGTGACCTCCAGCCACGTGACTGCCGAGCACTAGAAATATGCCTGCATCAAACTCAGCTGTGCTGCAACTGTAAAATACATACCAGATTTTGAAGACTCAAGAGAAAAAGGGAAAATATCTCAGTAATAAAGTTTTCTTTTGATTAATCGTTAAAATGTTCTAGGCATATGGGATTGGATAAAAATATTCTTAAAATTAATTTTACCTCTTTTTCATTACTTTTCTCGAGCATGACTAATAGAAAATTTAAAATTACACATGTGGGTTGCATTTTAGTTCCACTGGTCCATGCTGGCTTCAGGACATGAAGACATTTGTGCAAGGCTGCAGAGCTAGTACGTGGCAGAGACAGGATTAAACCCAGCCTCAGAGCCCCCTCTTCACCACTGCTCCCATGCTGAGTCTGCACTACCCCATCACAGCACTCACCAGTGTCTTTACTAACCTCTGAGCTTCCGGAGATTAGAGACTAGAGTCTTTAACCTCTGAGCCCTCAGCTCCTGGCACAGCGTCTGGTACACAGAGTATGCCTGATGAATGTCTGGTGAGTGGACAGATGCTTGTGGTCTTCTTCTGAGAATGCCGCAATGACAGCAGGGTTTTTACTTTTTTAAGATTTATTTATTTTAGAGAGAGAAAGAGAGAGAGCAGGGGGAGGAGCAGAGGGAGAGAATCTTCAAGCAGGCTCCCCGCTGAGTACAGAGCACAACATGGGGCTCGATCCCGTGACCCATGAGATCACAGCCTGAACTGAAACCAAGAGTCCAACACTCAACCGACTGAGCCACCCAGGCGCCCTGACAGCAGTTTTTCAAGATTAGTCTGCCCACCCTTTTTTTTTTTTTTTTTGCACCTAAACCCTGGAAATTATTTAAAGAAAAAGGTAAGATAAAGCCACCATCCTAATATTTGGGACAGTAAATGTTTGATAGTACCTACTTTTCAAATAATCACAGGCATAAGAGCTAAGAGGGATAGTCAACCTGTAAACCATAAGCACCACTGAGGAGACAATTTTTCACAGATACCCGCTGTTAAGAGGCACAAACAGAAACCATGAGAGGAACCCGAGGAGTAGTCAGAGAATTATGCGAATCAGAGCTTCACATTGTCACGCAAGACCTGAAAAGATGGTTTCACAAAGGACAGTGCACTCAATTTTATCTGAGAAGAGAAAAGGGGGTTAAGGAAATGCCATCAGATTCTTCTGGAAGGAAAGGAGTAATGTCCTTTATAAGCATATTTACAATACAGTCGTGAGAGACAAATTATAGAGCATATAGATATGGCAGGGATGCTGGACTTATGAAACTGGGAATTAAAGCTACTATGATTAATGTGGTAAGTGCTCTAATGGATAAAGTAGACAGCATGCAAGAACAGATGGGCAATGTAAGGAGAACCAAAAAAAAGCAAGAGTTTTTTTTAAAGATTTATTTATTTGAGAGAGAGCACGAGCAGGGGGAGGGGCAGAGGGAGAAGGAGAGAAAGAATCTCAAGCAGACTTGGCACTGAGCAGGGAGTCGGACGTGGGGCTCGATCTCAAGACCCTGAGATCCTGACCTGAGCTGAAATCAAGAGTTGGACACTTAACCAACTGAGCCATCCAGGCGCCCAACATGCTAGAGATTTTTCAAAAAACTAACAAATGAAGAATGCCTTTGATGAACTCATTAGTAGACTGGACACAGTTAACGAAAGACTCTCCAAGAGGATATATCAATAGAACTTTCAAAAACTGAAAAGCAAAGAGTATAAAGACTGAAAAAAACCAAACCAAAACACCAGACACTTGTGAACCTTGTCCTATGTATCCCTTCATCTGTCTGTTCATCTGTAACCTTTATCATATCCTTGATAATATACTAAACTGGTCAACATATGTGTTTCCCTGGGTTCTGTGAGCTGTTCTAGCAAGTGATGGAATCCAAGGAGGGAGGTCATGGGGGCCATGTGAAGTGGGGGCCGTCTGTGGAGACTGAGCACTTACCCGGTGGAGTCTTTGCTAACTCTAATTAGTGTCAAAACTGAAGTGATTTTTAGGGTGCTCAGTTGGTGTCACAGGGAATTGCTTGGTGTGGGGGAAAAAAATCCCCCACATTTGGTGTCAGAAGTGTCCTCTGTGGTAGTCGTGTGAGATTACGGGAGAAACCCAGGAGTGTGTTTGTTAAAGGAAGATAGACCTACAACATATGTGTGTCTACTGTCCAAATAGACTGCAATTACCAGTTTGTATCGCAGAAAAAAATCTTTTCCTGGGCAGCAACACTCTTTACAAACAGGACTGAGTTGGACTGAGCCAATACTTATATTTCAATTTGATCATTTTTATGAAGAAAAGGCACATCTGACAATTAGAATAATGCCAACTGATTATCCTTCTCCTTCCAAGCATCTTTAGGATACCTCTGTTTTGAGTAAATGACTGAACTAATAAACTTTTATTCTTTCAACATATATTTATTGAACACCGTGCTAAATACTGACAATATGTGCTGAGCAAAAAACCTGATAGTACCTGATCTCGTAGAGCTGAGTGTCCAGGAGATAAACAACAGTCCCACAAACACACACATAATTGTAGTGGTGACCAGCGTCACAAAGAAGAGTCATACGATGCTATGAGAGTCTCTAGTAAGGCCATCTGACCCGGCCAGGGTTTCAGGAGAGCTTATTTGAAGAGACAATGCTGAACAATTTCTGAAGGATGCTTGGAGTCCCCTTGGCGACAAAGCAGAGCAAACAGGAAGTGCAAGGAGAGGTGGGGAGGGTGAGAAACAGAAGGAGGCCAGTGTGGACAGAGCTCCCCGGGCTGTCTGTGCTGAATGGGGGCGGGGGGGACAGAGGCCAGCTACGGGGGGCTCACAGGCCACGCAGAAGCATTCAGTCTTCAACCCAACAGCAGGAAGCAGTCATTTCAGAGGAGGAGACGGAAGATGACAAAGCCACATCGAGTGTTAAAAAGGATCTCTCCGGCAGTAGGCAGGGAGGTGAAAAGGCCAGAATGGACATGAAAGAATATTTGTGTGGATGCCCCAGAAATCGAGGCAAGGTGAGAATGTGGATTCGAGAGACAGCAGAGACAGAAAGCAGTGATGGATTTGCAACATACGGGGGAGGGACAGGCCGTGGGGACACAGTGGGCAAGAAGGGACAGGAACGGCGCACTTCTGGGTTTCTGGAACTTCTCTAACACGACCAGCGGATGCGGCCTCTTCACCATGACAAGGCTCACTGATGGACAACCAAGTGTGTCTCTTGGGTTTTTTATGTGATCCCACTGCAGAAGTGATTAAGTTCTTCAGGATGAAGGGAAATGATACCAGATGGAAATTCTGATCCCCCAAAAGAACTTAAGAGTACTAGAAATAGTAAATATCTGGGTAGATGAAAATTTATTTTTAAGTTTGTTTTTATCTTTTCAATTTTTTTTATCATACATGTGACTGTTTAAAGGAAAAATTATAACCTAATTGCCTTGTACATTTCACAACATATGTACAGGTAATACATGAAACAACTAGAACAAAAGAAGAGGGTGTGATAATGGGATCTATATGGTTGTAAGGTTTCACATTTTATTTTATTTTTATTTTTTTAAGATTTATTTACTTATTTTAGAGATAGAGCAAGAGTAGGAGAGGCTGAGAGAGAGGGAGAGAGAATCTCAAGCAAACTCCCTGATGAGCACAGAGCCCCACTCGGGGCTCGATCTCACAACCCTGAGATCATGACCTGAGTTGAAACCAAGAGCTGGATGCTCAACCAACTGAGCGTCCCAGGAGCCCCTAAGGTTTCACATTTTAATGTGAAGGGAAACATTAATGCTAAGAAGCCTGTGAAGAATTAAGGGTGCATACTGTAATCCCTAGAGGGACTACTAAAAATAATAATGAAAAGGAGCACAGCTAAAAGCTAATAGGAAAATTGAAAACAAATATTTAAAAATATTTAAGTAGTCTATGAAACAGAAGGAAAGGAAAATCAGGGGAAAACAAGGGGACAAACATAAAGCGAATAATAAAGTGGTGAGACAAATCCAAACATACTAGTAATTACTAATATAATTCAAATAGTCTAAACCAGGGACCAACAAATTATGATGCCCGAGGGCCAATCTGGCCCAATGCCTGTTTCTGAAAATAAAGTTTTACTGGATCATAGCTGCACCCACTCATTTACATATTGTCTATTGCTGCTTTCTCTCTTTACTCTTTTTACCACTCTTGGCAGAGTTGAGTGGATGTGACAAACTAAATGGCCCATGAAGTCTGAAATATTTCCCATTTGGCTCTTGAATAAAAAGTCTGTCCAATCCTCATCTAAGCTCCCTGATTAAAAGGCAGGGATCATCAGAATAAGACAAACTATATGCTTTCTACAAGAGACATATTTCATATATGAAGACACAGGTCAAGGGTAAATAGAGACAGATTTACTATGCAAACTGTAAGTGTAAGAAGGCTGGGCGGCTATGCTGTCAGATAATAGATTTCAAGATAGAATATTATCAGAGCTGAAGAAGGACATTTCTTAATTTTCAACAGCCATGTCTCAGCAATTGACCAAATGCAATTTAAAAATACAGTTAGAACAGGAGATCTGAATAACACTATCAAGCACCTTGACCTGTTTGATACTTTAGTATATGACATCCAACAACTGCTGAGTTCCCAGTTCTTTAAGTCCACATGGTACCTTCCCTACCTAGATAGAGCAGATGTTAGGCCAAAACAATTTTCAGTAAGTTTAAAAAGATGGGAATCAGCATCTGAGCTGAGACTTGCACTTCTAGCCACAGTGAAATAACGAGAATCAGATGTATCCTCCTGCCTGGAACAACCAAAAAATATATGAACAATGACGAAATCTGAAGTGACAATATATATTTTGACAGCAGACAAAATACATGAAACAATGGTTTTTAAGATACCAGACATCCAGCAGTAAAGGTGACCCTGAGACACAGACACAGATGGGGAGAGCCCCACAACTGCCCTAGTGTGTAGGCAGCCTCTAAGATGATCCTCAGTGATCCTTGTATCCTGGCCATCCCAGCCTTGTGTAATTCCCTTCTCTTGAGTAACCTGCTCCAACTAATAAAATATGGCAACATTGAGGGAATGATTAGGTCACAAAAGAATGTTATTTTGTCGGGGTGCCTGGGTGGCTCAGTCATTAAGCGTCTGCCTTCGGCTCAGGTCATGATCCCAGGGTCCTGGGATCGAGTCCCACCTCGGGTTCCCTCCTCGGCAGGAAGCCCACTCTCCCTCTCCCACTCCCACTGCTTGTGTTCCTGCTCTCACTATCTCTGTCTCTGTCAAATAAATAAATAAATAATCTTAAAAAAAAAAAAAAGAATGTTATTTTGTCTTGGTAGCAGATTCTCTCTCTTGCTGACTTTGAAGAGGCAAGCTAGAATACTGGAGGTCTGTGTGGCAAGGGACCAAGGGTGGCCTCCCATCCAACAGCCAACGAGAAACTAAGTCCTGTGGTCCAATAACGCAACAAACGGAATCCTGCAACAACCACAGAAATAAGTGAGGAAGTGAATCTTTTGCACAACCTTGCAAAAGACCCTGAGGTAGAGGACCCAGCTAAGCCGTGTTCAGACTCCTGACCCCGGGATAATAAATGCGTGTTGTTTTAAGCCGTGTTGTTTTAAGTTTTCGGGATGATTTGTTACATAGCAATGGATAACTAATACATCCAACAGACTGCCTTGAGGGTTTCCAGGCTGTAGCACAGAGGGAATATGAGGGAATAAATAGCTCTCGGCTGAGAACTGCTTTGGTCCCACTTAACAAATCTTAAAAGCAAGACCTGAAAGGATCAAACTGTTTCCAAGTAACTTAAATGCATCCCAGATAAAAGCTCATAAATATTTTTAGGAACACAAACATACCTACCATCCAAAAAGATAAAATTAATACTGTCTGGCATTCAAACAAAGATTACTAGGGAAAAAAAGAAGAAAAATCACAAACCACAATGAAAAAGAATCAGTCAATAAAAACCAATCTGAACAAACACATGTGAGAATTACAACTGATGTAGTTACATTGCACATGTCCAAAATGAGTAGAGAATAGCAGGCAAAATTTTTTAAAAAGGCTCAAAATGAACTCAGAGATAAAAACTAAGAAGATCAAGATGAAAAATGCAGTGATGGGTTAATGGCAAATTAGACACTGCAAAGTAAAGATTGGTGAACTTGAAGATAGCAATAAAACTATCCAGAAAGAAACAGAGAGAAAAGATCATCTTTTCAAAAGAATGAACAGAGTATCAGGCAAATCTAAACCGACTAGTATTTGTGCAATTGAAATCTACAGATTGGGGGAGTGGGGCAGAAAAAATACTGGAAGAAATAGTAGCTAAAAATTGTACAAATTTGATGAAAACTACAGACCCAAGAAGCTCAACAAATTCTAAGCACAGAAACATGGAGAAAACTAAACCAATGCACATAATAATCAAATCAGTCAAAACTACTGACAAAGAGAAAATCTTAAAATCAAACAGAGAAAAAAGACACATTAGAAATAGAATACAGACAGGGCGCCTGGGTGGCTCAGTCGTTAAGCATCTGCCTTCGGCTCAGGTCATGATCCCAGGGTCCTGGAATCGAGCCCCGCATCGGGCTCTCTGCTCTGTGGGAAGCCTGCTTCTCCCTCTCCCACTCCCCCTGCTTGTGTTCCCCCTCTCTCTGTGTCTCTCTCTGTCAAATAAATAAATCTTAAAAAAAAAAAAAAGAAAGAAACAGAATACAGACAACACATCAGAAACAAAGCAATCTAGAAGACTATGGAGCAACCTCTTCAAAGTACTTACAGAAAGAAAAAAATTGTGTCACCTCAGAATTTTATATAGAGAGGAAATACCTTTCAAAAATGAAAATAAAATGGGGCACCTGGGTGGCTCAGTTGGTTAAGCGTCTGCCTTCAGCTCAGGTCATGATCCCGTGGGATTGAGTCCCACGTCGGGCTCCCTACTTCTCTCTCTCCCTCTCCCTCTGCCCGCCCTCTGTTTGTGCTCTCTCAAATAAATAAATAGAATCTTTCAAAAAAAATAAAAAAAGTTAAGTAACTATTCTAAGCCCATCATACAATCAATAAAGCTCAAATGAGCACTGAAGTTCAAACCGGTTTGCTTTTCAAAGCCAGGCTGAATGAAAACTTATGTTCACAGAAAAAATTCATGTACATGAATATTTAGAGCGGTACAATTCATAATTACCCCAAACTGGAAACAATCCAAATGTTCTTTAATGGATGAACAGATTAAAACAACAACACTGGTATACCTATTTAGTGGAATGTTACAAAGGAATCTCAAAGGCATGGTGCTGAGTGACAGTTGCCAGTCCCCAAACGTCATACAGGGTAAGATTCCATCCATCCATTCCATTCCATCCCATCCCGGAAAAGACAAACTAGAGAGATGGGGACCAGTCTGCCGGAGGTTAACAGTGGGAGAAAGGTGTGAATATAATAAAGGGAGAGCACAAGGCCGGTTTCTGGAGTCAGTGAAACAGCTCTGCGTCCTGATTGTGGCGGTGGTTTGGTTGCACGCTTCTAAACATGGTAGAATTGCACGCCCCTCTCCTATCAATTTTACTGTCTGATAATTTTGAAACTAAACAACCCAGGCCGTTTTCATTAAGCCACGATGGATAAAAGGCTGGCGTGGGAGAAGGGGTCACGGGAAGTGACACAGGAGGGGCTTTGCTCCTGGCTCCCACCGCGCTCCCTACAGAAACCGCCCCACCCCAGGAAGCCTTCTTCCCACCTACTCCTACAAACTTCTCTCCCTGGAAAGGAAAGCTGCCTGTCCTCACATCCCGTCTGCACCTCACCCCTGTTCTGTACAGATACCGGTTTCTGTGACTCGTCCCGCAGAACCGACCTCCTGGACCTGCAGGTACACAGGCAGGCTCAAGAAGGTGGTGAGACCCGTGCTGCGTGAATGACCTCGGGAGCCTGGTTAGTGAACTTGAGCTGGCCTCCAGGTCAGAACGGGCCCTTCTGTTCCGAACACCAAGAGCTACAGATCTGGTCTCCCGTCCCCTCCTGCTCCAAGCGGGGCTGGCCCCCCAGGATGGAATCCCCGAGGGGAGGCAGATGCAGAGCCCGGGCTCCTTGAAAATACAGAAACACGAAAACATGGAAATGCAGCTTGCTCCACACTGCACGTAGGCGAACAAATGTCTGACTGCAGACCCTGTTATTCGCCCTCCGGACACGGCCCTTCTATGGGGATGGCCAGTCCGTCTCAGCCGAGGGGAGGACGCTCTGCCCGGGCTCCCAGCGGGGACTCCGGCCTGGCCGTCTCCACGGGGCTTCCCCAGCTGATGAGGCTGGACGTTGTAAGCACCCATCTGATGCAGCTTTGCCTTCTTCTCCTGTACTGCCTCCGATCACCTCCACTATGAGTAGATTCCTTTCCTCTCCTGCTTTCATTAGTTCCTATAATAATAATAATAATGCGTTCTTTCCTCTTCCGCACCGAAACGCGGCTGCTGTGAATCTTTTGTGCAGAACACCCCCACGCCGCACCCGGCCACTGTCTCACCTCTCTCTCCCTGCACAGTCGTCGCCGCCAGCGCGCGGTGCTGCGGCCGCCCGGGCATCACGCGGGCTCCGCGGCCGCGCCACCGCGGGCCCGCTCCCCTAGGCGCCCTCCCTGCGGACACCCGCCTCCTTGCGGCCTCTGCACCCCAGGCCGGACCCCGCCACGCTCCGGGGAGCCCCTAGCGCCGGGCTCCGAGGCCCGGACGCCGCCCGGCCGAGCACCCGCCGAGACGCACCGCGGATCCGGGGCCTGGGGGGCGTCGGCGCCCGGACCCCCGCGCCGCTCGCGGGCAACAGCTGCCGCACCTGAGAAGGTGCCAGAGCAAGGCCCTGTGAAACTCCGGGACCGGCCAGGCCTGGCCCACCAGCCCCGGGCTAGGGCACCAACCGCCCGGTCCCGACACCGACCCCGGAGGAACCACGGTTCGGCGGCTCCCGGCCCCGCGGGACCCGCCCCTTCCCTCCGGACATTTCCCAGATGCGTCTGCGGCTGCGCGGACTCGGGGCGGGGCGGGGCTAGAGCCGATCCACGTGACTCTAAGTGGGCGGGTCTTCCGGGCTTGGCCGGTCTCGGTCTCCAGGACGCAGCCCCAGTCACGGGTATACCTGAGTAAGTTGCACGCACCGAAGTGCCTCCGCAAAGGAGAGAGGCGGGTTCCTACCTTCTCTTCTTAAACCATGATGAAAAATCATAGAGCCACAGGAAAACCAGACTCCTTCATTTCAGGATGGCGACAGACAATGACTGTTAAACACCAACTGTGCTAGGCGCTCTTCTAAGCACCTTATATGTATTATCTCATTTGAAAAAGCAAAAATCGGCTCTGCCATAGACCAGACTCAGAGGACACTGATAGGGCCTGCTGCAAAGTCAACAGCAAATATTTCTCCCAAAATCATACTGGAGCTGTAAATTTCACCATGATCCTCTTTGAATAATTACTGCTTTCTTATCAATGATATCTTTGCCTTGCTGCTCCCACTTAAAAAATGACCGAGAAATCTTCTTTGCTAAAATCAGAGACTGTCAGAAACTATTTGACATCACTGTCAGGATAAGTAAATGCTCCACTCTTGCCTGGGGGATCGGAGCCACCTTCAACAAAAACAATCTCTTCCAAGCTAGCTGTAGAGCTCCAGATACAGCATTTTCACACACAACGTGTCACATTTATGGTAACTTTGAGATTTCAAAAACAAAACAGGACCCTGAACCTACTTTTTAATCCAGACCAGCCGGGGTGCCTGAGTGGCTCCCTCGGTTAAGCATCTGACTCCTGGGGCGCCTGGGTGGCTCAGATGGTTAAGCGTCTGCCTTCGGCTCAGGTCATGATCCCATCGTCCTGGGATCGAGCCCCGCATCGGGCTTCCTGCTCAGCGGGGAGCCTGCTTCTCCCTCTCCCTCTGCCTCTCTCCCTGCTCATGCTCTCTCCCTCTCTCTCTCTGTATCTCAAATGAATTAAAAAAAAAAAAAAGCATCTGACTCCTGATTTCTGCTCAGGTCATGATCTCAGGGTCACGACATCAAGCCCCATGTGGAGCCCTGTGGCCCATGTGGAACTCAGGTCAGCTCTACACGGGGCGGGAAGCCTGCTTAAGATTCTCTCTCTCTTAAAAAAACCAAAATTAATCCAAACCAGCCTTGCATTGAGTCTATCAAAACACTTCCATAAAATTTTACCTAAAATTTTAATTTTTCTCAAAATTCTGCAATAACCCTGTTTCATTCTTCATGAGATGCTCCAGGTTACTGCTGGTGATGGTCTACCTTGTTGCGGGGGATGAATAAACCTAATTTTGTTGGACTATACATTTATTCCTGGTAGTCCTCATCAGATGTGTCTTAGCACATTTTACCACAAAACATAAGCTCCAACAGAGACTGGCATGTTGTAGATAATCAAATAATTTTTGAATAAATGAAGTCATTATTATTAACCTCATTTTACAGATGAGGAAACAGTCTCAGAGCGGTTAAATAAGGTTACTCATGATTTGGCTAGAGGAGCTCACATCCTTAATTGTTGTGTTGTGGGCCCTACTACTTGCCCAAGATAGGACATGCTTCAAGTTTCAGAACTAGCAAATGGCAAAACTAAGATTAGAGTCCATGGTTAATCTTAGTCCAATTATTTTCCTACCCTACCTACTGGGGTATTTGTGTGTGTGTGTGTTTGTGTGTATGTATGTGTGTGTGAGTGAGAGAGACAGATGTATACTCTAGCTCATCTACCTGACCTTGTATAGACCTCAATATATTTACCAATGACAATATCTCCAAGATCCAAATACTGTCGTATTTCAGATGGAAACTGTCAGATTGCATCCCTTGATAAGGTATGGCCTTGATGTAAGTTGTTCATTCTGACAGTGATGAATGTGAGTGAAGGGGCCTAGCTCAGAGAAGCACATTGGTAGTTGGAAGAAGTCAATGCTGAGCAGAAAAGTGGAGTGGCTGGTGCTGAATTAAGTGCTTATGTGGATGCATCTCCGAAAATGTCATAGGCTCTTGTTCCTTCCTAAATAGACAAGCCTGAGAGACAACATCAATGGATTTGTCTGATTGTCTCTCTACATTTCCTGAGTCTTATATCCTTATATCTAAGCAAGCCTCTCACAGTCCTTTGGCTAAGAATGGGCAGACTTTGAAACCCCTCACAGTGTGTGGCATTCTCCCTTGGTGCATCTCAGAGATTGTTCCTTGGTGGTTCCTTCCATAGGTTGTTACGAAGATGAAACGAGTTATGAATGTGATGCTGCTAAGAATCGAGCCTGGCAAATGACACAAGGAGCCTCGCAAAGAAATTGGGAACAGTTAAGAGAGAGTCAAACAGAACTCAGAATTCAATACGTAGAACGTTAATCCTCCTAAATGAAAAATTGCCACAAAGATTCCAATAAAGCAAAATTGGAAAAAAAAAAAAGCAATTCTATCTGGAAAAATTAAAGAGTAGAAAATCATTGTCAAAGTAAGCTGGGAAAGATTAAAGTTCATGACCTTCAGTGATGTAGCAAGACACGGAAATATATATATATTCCATATGTGCATGAGTGTGTATGGAAAGAAAGAAATGCATCTGAGCTTGAACCTGGATCCTGTAGATTCACAAATCTAAATAAAGAGCTAGTTTTACAGACTTCTCAGGAATGTATACATATTGTAAGGAAAAATATGTGTCCTTAAAGAGAAATAATAGAAATTAATGGTCTGCATGCATAACATTTTTTTCAAATAGTTTTGAAAGTATTTTTAAGTATGCAGGTGAATGACTTGACAAATGTATACACTTGAGGAACCACCACACTGGTCATGATACAGAACATGTCTGTCCCCCAGAAAGTTCCCTCATAGGCAGTATCCCTGTATGCAACATTTTAGTGATTTCCCATTAAATAGATGAAATCAGAGGGTTTTTTTATTAAAAACATATTTGAATTATTGGTTTTATAATAAAAATTTATATACTACTTTGCTTGAAGTTATGTCTCTTGGAACTTGTTAACTAATTTTAACTGATTTTGCAAATGAAAAATAGTCTTATTGACTTTTACATACTCAGACTGCCCCAAACACCAGCCAGCCCTTAGAGTTGTACCAAAATTACCATCATGTCATTAACCCATCAATGGGTGGATTAAACAGAAGTCAATGGAAGTGTAAACCTGTATTTTCCATTTAATATTATTGAATACTGGCCTAAAGATTTTGACAAATAATTTCTGTCCCCTGCCACAATTTCTGATCTCGATGTTTGGTTGTATTATAACTGTGGCCATACAATCTAGAGAATATTTTAAATTGTATGTGAACTTACACTGATTAACAGCCAGCTAAAACTAAATAGAAGTGCATTTTGCGGGGAGAGGAATCAAGTTTCACAGTTTCATCCTGTTTAGGTCATTTCTGGTTTCCTCCTTCTATGCTGTGGGTATCTCAAGGGAACTCGGATTTACTAACATCTTACCTTCTGACCTAAGGCCCAATCTACTAAAGTGATGTGACCTCATTTAATATGGGTAATTAGGTTCACTCATGAAGCATAATAACATAGTGCTCTTTTAAAAGGATTTTCTTTATTAGAGAGAGAGCGCACACATGCATGAGCTGGGGGGGCAACGGCAGAGGGAGAGGGAGAAGCAGACTTCCCGCTGAGCGGGGAGCCTGATGCAGGGCTCGATCCCAGGACCCCGAGATCACCACCCGAGTCGAAGACAGCTGCCCAACCATCTGAGCCACCCAGGCGCCCAGCATAGTGCTTTTTAAACCAAGTGCCAAGTAATAAGAAATAGGCTCAGAGATACAGTATCTGTCTTTCCTGATCCTCTACTTCTTCACTGGTATGTTCAGAGAGAAGATAGGCTTCAAAAAGTACATGTCTACAATCCTGTAGAAATTTATTCTTGTGAAATACATCTTGAAAATCACTCTCTTCCCATGTGTCTTTCCCCCTGAGATAAAATCTTGTGGTGTTGGGGATGAGGAAGTGAAGAGAAGCATAGTGATGGAATGAACAGCTCTGTTAAAGGGCTCAGTTATCTAAAAGGTGTCCCTTTGCTTCCATGGGTCCTCTGGAATTGTCTCTGTCACAGCTGTGATAGATACTTGGATTCCTGGCTTCTCTGGATAGAACTTGTGGATGTAGAATTTGGGATGATCTTCCAATTAAAACATTTTCTCAATTTTTATGTGGGTGGTTCCATTTCCATTTGGGGCACTCCTTTTTAAAATTTTTCATTATTAAAGTATGCATGACAGTCAATGTTATATTAGTTTCAGGGACACAACGTAGTAATTCAATAATGCTATACATCGCACAATGCTCACTACCATAAGAGAGGTTACCAGCTGTCACCATACAACGTTATTATGATATTTTTTACTAGATTCCCTGTGTTGGACTTTTCATCTCCGTGACTTATTTGTTTTATAGGGGAATTCCTATTTTTTAAGGTTTCAGAAAGCTTCTGAAGATGAGGGCATGAAAAGTCTGACTGAAAATGTGTTAATGAATGATAGAAGCATTTACATGGAATGTCTATAAGAAATACTGATGGGGGTACCTGGGTGGCTCAGTCGTTAAGCGTCTGCCTTCGGCTCGGGTCATGATCCCGGGGTCCTGGGATCGAGCCCCACGTCGGGCTCCCTGCTCGGCGGGAAGCCTGCTTCTCCCTCTCCCACTCCCCCTGCTTGTGTTCCCTCTCTCGCTGTCTCTCTCTCTGTCAAATAAATAAATAAAATCTTAAAAAAAAAAAAAAAGAAATACTGATGAAAAGCTGAAATATCAGAACTACACAATACCTGTCCTCAAGTAGCTCACAGAATTTATTTGTTAGTGTCTTGCTCTCAACATTAACTGGCTGGCTTTTCACGAAATGTCAAGTCTTAAACTTTCCTTGTATTGCCAGTGAAGTCTTTGATCTCAGGTGATGACTGATGTTTACCTGAAGTCAATACATTCTTCACATTCACAGAA